CACACACACACACACACACAACCGAAAACAGACATCTTGAGTTAATGATTTTAGTGCGTTTTTCTGTATGGAAAGATGCAAGAGGCCTGGCTCATGGAAACCATCCCTTTGATAGGTATCTCTAACAATGTAGGGCCAACACCATGTTTTCCTCCATCCTGAATTCCCCTCAGGGTGCACCATCCAGGTGGTGGCTGACTTGAGGGTGGCAGCATTCTTTGTTTACTGAAGTGGGAGGCAATGTTCTTTGTCCACACCCCACAGAGCCTGAGTTAGCTGGCGGGTGAATCTGATACGCCAGTGTATGTGTTACAGCAGTTTAGGAGCATGTGTGCTCAGTTGCTCAGTCATATCTGACTCTTTGCAGCCCCACAGACTGAAGCCCACCAGGTTCCTCTATCCACTGGGATTCTCCAGGCAAGAATACTGGAGTTGCCATGCCCTCTTCCAGGGGATCTTCTCCACCCAGGGATCGAACCCAGATCTCTACCATTACAGGCGGATTCTTTACTGTCTGAGCCACCACGGAAGCCCAAGAATACTGGAGTGGGTAGCCTATCCCTTCCCCAGGGAATGCTCTCAACCCAGGAATTGAACTAGGGTTTCCTGCAGTGCAGGCAGATTCTTTACCACCTGAACTAAGTACCGAATGAATGAAAGGGGTTCTGCGAGGGCAGGAGAGTGAAGCAGGCTTAGTCTGGGATCAGCAGGCTTGTGTTCCTGGAGGCAAGTTCTTGAGTTGAAGCTAAAGGATGAGTAGGAGCTTCAGACAGTCCAGGAAAGTGGCCCTGGATTAGCAGTTAGGAGAGAGAATCTAGGGCCTGGACCAGAAGAGAAAGGATGCGTTTATTTATTTTGAGAACAAGGAAAACCATAGAAGATTTATTTTGAGAACAAGGAAAACCATAGAAGATGTTGAGGGAGGTTGAGATATAGTCTCTTTAGCTGGACTGTGGTGGTCTCATAGGGAAGGAATTTTGAAGTCCTCCAGCCAAAGGTAACCAGAAATACACCTGATGGTCCAGGAAGATATTCTCTTGCTATAGAAGGGGAAGGGCACCCAGAAGGAACTCTGGGGAGCCAGGTTAGTCAAGCACTGGGCTTGTGTGAGAGGGTTTTAAATAGGAACTCAGGTAGTGGGGACGGGGTGGCTTCCCAGGTGGAGCTAATGGTAAAGAACCTGCCTGCAATGCAGGAGACATGAGACATGGGTTAGATGCCTGGGTCAGAAAGATCCCCTGGTGGAGGGCGTGGGAGCCTACTCTAGTATTCATGCCTGGAGAATTCCATGGACAGAGGAGCCTGGCGGGCTACAGTCCACAGGGTCGCATAGAGTTGGACACAAGTGAAGTGATAGCATGCACACACAGATAGTGGGGATCATCTTTGGGTTAAATACAGTCAACAGTTCAGCAGAAAGGTACATTAAAAACTTAGAATCTTCCCTGTCACCAAAATGAAAAGAGACCCATTCCCTCTTTTCTTTCTTAGAGCATTTCCTTGATAAATTCTGTATGTGTAAATCTTTCCACTGTCTTTTTTTTTTTTTTTTTTGGCCATGCCGCAGGATATGTGGGATCTTAGTTCCTTGACCAGGGATCTAACCTGTGCTCCCTGCATTGGAAGCACGGAGTCTTTACCACTGGACCACCAGGGAAGTCCCTCCTCTGTCTCTTTCATAGGGATGTGAATCTTTTCTGTGGGTTCTTTTTTTTTTTTAATACTATGGCACACTATACACAACAGGAAATTTACAATTCAACTATTTTTAAGTATAAATTCAGTGGCATGGAGGGCATTCATGCAGTGTAACTGTCAACCACTATCTCTTTCCAGAACTTTCTCATCACCCTAGACAGAAACTCTGTACCCATTCTGCAAGAACTCCCCATTCTCTTCTCCCTCTCAGCCCCTGGTAGACCTCTAATCTACATTCTGTCTCCAAGAATTTGCCTATTCTATATGTTTCATAGAAGTGTGATCATACAATAGCTGTCCTTTTGAGTGTGGCTTCTTTTTTAAATTAATTAACTTGGCTGCACCAGGTCTTAGTTGCAACATATGGGATCTTTAGTTGCGGCATGCGGAATCTAGTTCCCTGGCCAGGGTTTGAACCTGAGCCCCCTACGCATTGAGAGCGCAGAGTCTTAGCCACTGGACCACCAGGGAAGTCCCTCATGTGCATTCTTCCACTTAGCATCATGTTCTCAGGGTTTCCCCATGTTGTAGCACATGCCAGTGCTTCATTCCTTTTTATGGCTGAGTATTACTCCACTGTGTGTCTATACTACATTTTGCAAATTTTTTCAAAGGCTAAATAAATAAGCCTCTTGGCCAATATCACAACCCAGGACTATTTTTTTTAAGGGCATGGGAGCCATCTCTTTGAAATGTAAATGTCAAGGAAAGTTGTGTCCTTGTCTCCCTGCCATGTGGGAGTTTGAGCACTTGTATTTATACTGTAACTGCCAGCTTATCACAAAGATGAGAAATTTTATTATTCCTTGAGACAAAGACAGGTAGTATAATATGTGTTCCACTTAGCAGGTGACTTTAGCATGACCTGGGCTAGGGAAAGTGTGATCAGACTCTTACCTTTTAGTGCTTTAAAAAAAAAAACAAACAAACACTTATTTATTTATTTAGGCTGTGCTTGGTCTTATTTGAGGCATGTGGGATCTAGTTCCCCAACCAGGGATCGAACCCAGGTCCCCTGCTTTGGGATGGAGTCTTAGCCACTAGGTCAACAGAGAAGTCTCAGATCCTCTTACTTTTTAAGTGAATGGTAATTTACAAGCCACCACTAATCTCGGGAGAGTCCCTTGGACTGCAAGGAGATCCAACCAGTCCATCCTAAAGGAGATCAGTCCTGGGTGTTCATTGGAAGGACTGATGTTGAAGCTGAAACTCCAATACTTTGGCCACCTGATGGGAAGAGCTGACTCATTTGAAAAGACCCTGATGCTGGGAAAGATTGAGGGCAGGAGGAGAAGGGGACGACAGAGGATGAGATGGTTGGATGGCATCACCGACTCAATGGACATGAGTTTGAGTAAACTCCGGGAGTTGGTGATGGACAGGGAGGCCTGGCGTGCTGCGATTCATGGGGTCACAAAGAGTCGGACACAACTGAGTGACTGAACTGAACTGAACTGAACTGAACTAATCTCGGGAGCATGTACATGATGCAATGTTTGGCTGTCTATAAAAAGGTGGGATTTCTCTCTGTGGTCTCATTAGCAGGTTACCTGTGATGTATATCACCATCTGGTTCAACGCATGTTCAACAATAAAAATGTTCTTCTTTCCTAGGACTTGGGGAGGAGTCTCTGGATTGGCAGAGGAAAATTTAATTTTAATTTGTCATTGATCAGAAAGCAAGAGTCATTCGTAAAAAACAGCTTCTGCCTCACAGGCTGGAAACTTTGCCAAGATCTGAGTGTTACCAAGGCTGATGTTCACCTTCTCAGGGCCAGGGCTGGACTGTTAGGAGCCACAGTAGAGATAGGAACAGAGACAGTGGCTGAAGAGAGAGAAGAGACAGATTTGACAGATATTAAGAATGATCATTCAGACAAGAAATTGCTTCCCTATTTTCTCCCATAAAAGCTTCTTTGAAGTAACTGAGGCACAGAAATCTTAACCTGTATTGGGCATCCGAATAGAAATCATGTATGCTAGCACATAGCTCCGGAGAAGGCAATGGCACCCCACTCCAGTACTCTTGCCTAGAAAATCCCATTGATGGAGGAGCCTGGTGGGCTGCAGTCCATGGGGTCCCTACTAGTCGGACACAATTGAGCGACTTCACTTTCACTTTTCACTTTCACACATTGGAGAAGGAAATGGCAGCCCACTCCAGTGTTCTTGCCTGGAGAATCCCAGGGACAAGGGAGCCTGGTGGGCTGCCGTGTCTGGGGTCACACAGAGTCAGACAGGACTGAAGCAGCACACAGCTCAATCCTTTTTCCAGCTCCTGTGGGATCTAACAGCGGTTAGCACATTCAGTGGTTGAAAGCTTCAAATCTGGAGCCACCACCTGATTCCAACTCAAAGTTGCCCAGCTAAGCCCTTCACCATTTCCTGGCCTACAAAATCAAGAGCCCAGAAACAAGGTTGTTTCCATCTCCTAGGTTTTGGATTTATTTCTTACTCAGTGGCGGGAACTGATGTACATGCATTGTTTCATTTAATAGGAAGACCTGTTGTTATCCCCATTTCATAGATGTGAAAGCAGAGGCTTGGAGATGTTATGCTCTACTGGGCATTTGGACCCAGATGGCGAGGGAGAGAGAAGTAACAAGGATGGCAACAGTTTCCAGTTTTGCAGGAATGCATGGATGGGTAGCCCTTTCCAAGGCAGAAACCACTGGGAAAGAAACAAGGTAAACTGGGGGTGGGGGTGGGGGGGAGGACTCTGAACTCCTGGGAGGCAAGGACACTGTCTTATCCACCTGTGTCCCCAAGGCACCCAGTACAGGGCCTGGCACCAAACTGAGCTGAAAAACTGAAATAGGTGCAGGTGTGGAAAAAAAGAGAGTGCCTGCCTGGAACTGAATGGGAGCTCCTGTTTGGAGGATTCAAATCCAGGTTCCACCACTTTTTGTCTCTGTCACTTCTAATGAGTACGCCCACCTTTGTGAACTAGGTCTTCCTTATCTGTAGATCAAATATAAATATGGTACCTATCACAGCCGGGCCCACATAGGCGGCCGTGAAAAACGTGCTTACAATGCTTGGCACAGCACCCACTCATGAGTTTTATTATTACAGCATACTGGTTTAGCATCCAGTCAAGCAGAGTCAAGCAGATCTGGGTTAGAATCTAGGACAAGGGACTCCCAACAAGTCCCTTTATCTCCCTGAAGCTCAGTTTCCCCATCTGTAACTTGGGAAGGACAGTTCTTAGGGTTATTGTGTGCATGGGAGGATCTCGACGCCCGCCCCTCGAACCGGGTGGGCGGGGCCAAGTGGGGCGCCCTGGCGCGAGCGAACGCGCGCGCGCGCGCAGGGACCCAGGTACGCGGACAAGATGGCGGCGGCATTGGTCGACAGCGCGATGGAGGTGGTGCCGGCGCTGGTGGAGGAGGCCGCGCCCGAGGCGGCGGGCCTCAGCTGCCTCGTCAACCTGCCGGGAGAGGTGCTAGAGTACATCCTGTGTAGCGGCTCGCTGACGGCCGCCGACATCGGCCGCGTCTCCAGCACCTGCCGGCGGCTGCGCGAGCTGTGCCAGGGTAGCGGGAAGGTGTGGAAGGAGCAGTTCCGGGTGAGGTGAGCCCGCGCTCCCCCTTCTCTCTGCGCGCCCCCCACCCCACCCCGGGGCCCCGGCCTGGCAGCTCTGAGCCGCCGCCGCCTCCCTGCCGGCTCGCGGACCCCACCCCCGGGAGGACCCCTTCCCGCGGACAGACAGACAAAGGCCTCCAGGCCGCTGGCCCCTCCGTCCACTCCAGGCGGACTCGCGGATACCGAGATTGCGTCTCGGGAAGCGCCCAGCAGCCCGGCCCTCCATCAAGGATGACGATCGTGGTTATCACCGCCGATCCATCCTGCGCGCTTCTTTTGTGCCCGACTCCGTGCTAAAATGTTTACACGGACCCGGTGATGCAGTGATCCTAACGGCCGTTTGAGGGAAACGGGCGCAGCATCTCTTTGGCGGTTGGCCGAGAGCAGAGATTTCGGTTAGGACCCGGGATAAAATCTGGCCCTGGCATACTCATCGTGTGACCTTGGGGGTAGCAGCTTCCCTTTTTGGAGCCTCATGTATCGACTTTAAATTGTGTTGTGATGAAGACCTATCTTTTACTGTGGTGGTTAGATGAGCTGATACATGGGGAGCCTTACACAGGGCCCGGCTCTTAGGACGCGCACAATTAATGTTAACTGTGATTGCCATAACTGTGATTGTTGTTGCTACGACTGTCCCCATTTTATAAGTGGGGAGTGGAGACACAGTATTGATACTGCTAAGCCAAGGTCACGGTGTGTGGGAGTGCGTGCGCGCCGAGTGAAGATTTGAACTGGGTCCCTCACCAGGGCCGCCCCTGATGCCTAAACCCAACCGCTTTCGCTGTTTTCCAAAGCTGCTTTTAATTCATGTTTATTCTGCCTTTGCGTCTCTGTTATGCTGAGGGGGTGTTTTTCTCCTTGTAGGTGGCCTTCCCTTATGAAACACTACAGCCCCACCGACTACGTCAATTGGTTGGAGGAGTACAAAGTTCGGCAAAAAGCTGGGTTGGAAGCCCGGAAGATTGTAGCCTCGTTCTCAAAGAGGTTCTTTTCAGAGCACGTAAGGATCTGTTGATGGAGCTCTAAGCATTTGCCTGCTAGCGGTGGTCTGCGTCTGGGTCTGTAGGCATTAGCTCATCCAGCTCTTTTTGCTATCTCCCTTTTCAAGGCGCTCACAATCCCTTCCTCACTTAGATGACTGCAAGAGTCATTGTGTCCTTTCCCCCTGTCCAACAACACGGAGCCATTTGTCCCTGCCAGCATTACTTTTCTAAAGCCAGAGAGAATGGGGGGAGGGAGAGAGAGGGAGGGACCCGCAGTGCAATGTGGAGGGAATCCAGATCAGCAATATTTCTCTTTAAGGGGGTTAGACAGTATTTTTTGCAGTCGCTGCATGATTGGGGGTATCATCCATGATCGAACACTACAAATTTCACCCAGTTGTTTTCCCAGAAGGGTTGACAAAATTAATAGGGTTCTCTCTGGCTTTGCAGGTTCAAACCAGTAGTGAATGCATTATTTGTTAAGGTAACAGAGGATTAAAGGCTACCCATAAAGCAAGAATTATTACTCCCTCAGTGATACCATCTCATATTCATTATTTCTGAAAAGTTGTGGGGTTTATTTGTTTGTTTTTAATGTTGCTGAAATGCATGGGTTTGTTTGGTTTCCCTTCCACAAAATGCCTCACAGAAGTTTCTGTATGAGGTCCTGATTCTTAACTTTTTGCACATTCTGGAAAAGAGACAGCACTAAGATTTTATTTCTGATTGGAGGTCCAGAGATGGAACCAGTCTGATTTATCCTGATTTACTGAACATTAATTCTGGTTTTTAATTTTAATTACTATTATTTAATGTTTCACACATTCTCTTTCAAGTTTTGAAAGGGAAAATTCTAACTTGGCACACAGTTGAATGTATCTCCCTAAAAAGAATAAAGCTAGGTGTTCCCCAGTGTAATTTGTTTCTATAAACAAGTGTTTGTTAATGTCAGAATGACCAGAATTTGTGTCCTATTTGGAATAAGCCACATGCTGGCTAAAAGCACTCATAGTCTCAGATATTCCACACTGGTTTAAGTACGTTTGCACACACATACGTGGGGGTGCTGGATGTGTTTGGTGCACTTGGACAGGAGCTACTCGTTTGCAGCCTCTACTTACAGTTCAGCTGGTTTTGTGTGTGTATTTTAAGAGCCTCAGCCTTTGTCTAGTAATGGTGCATTGTTGTGTTTCTCCCCCAGCTCCGTCTTTCCCTGTCCCTCTGCATGATTAGAAGTGTGTCGAGGACTTTGAACATAACAGGACTATACTAGGACTGATCTGTGGGTAGATGACTTCGGCTCAGGACCCTTGTGCTCCTGTGTTTTCCACATGCACACAGGCTGACAAGAAGTTTCCTGCCTACTTTCCGGAAGAAAAGTGGGAAAAGGAATCAAATTTTTAAACCGAGGTGGGGTGGGGGGGGGGTGGAATCTTACAGCTCATCGGCACCACCACCTCAGCTTACAGAGGAGAAAACATGCCTGGACCTTCAGAGTCACCTAAACCCCTAGACTTCTCTCTCTGGCCCTGGACTCCTAGTTGAATACAGTGTTGCCAGCACAGAATAGGTACTGTGAAAGACACCGTTTTTATATTTCTAGTCCTCCTTTCAGAGTTGTTTTTCGTTAGGTGAGAACTCTGGGTTATCACTTTCAGAAATTCCAGTCTATAAATTCCAAATATAATTCATTTGCAGCTAACAATATGATTAGAACAAATTACTGTTACCCCACAGGTTCCTTTTCTCCCCTAGTGGGTGGGTGGTGCCAGATAGTGTGGGAGAGGTGTTACCACTTCCTTGGAAGTGAACAGCTTTGCTTGTAACTTGCGTGTGTGAGAGACAACAGCATGGCTACTCCTCACTGAGGCCTCTGTGTGTCTGTCTTCTTCATAGGTCCCTTGTAACGGTTTCAGTGACATTGAGAATCTTGAGGGCCCAGAGATATTTTTTGAGGATGAGCTGGTGTGTATCCTAAATATGGAAGGAAGGTAAGCTGTATTTCTATCAGGAGTTTGTTTTATTAATAACCCCAGGATTGATTGCTGTAATAGGTATGTGGCTGAACCAAGAGACATATATTTCAAATGTTTCATGTTACATTCATGTCGCTGTAGTTACATTTTTGAAAAATTCCATGTATACAAGGTAAATATACCAAGACAGTTAATATTTAAAGAAATGGTACAGAAATCCTTGTGGGAGAATTAGTATATATTCCTTCTGGGGGTCAAATACTGTGCTCTGGGTACTTGTGTCTATTATGCCATTTGGGTAACACAAATTATCCTTTCTTTGTTGTCACTGCCAAATTTATCTGTTGTGAGCTGAATTTAAAAAAATATTTTTCTTAGGCATGTCTTATTTAATGGATAATTTTTCATAGTTTCTGAATTCTGGTAAGACGTGATCTTATTTTATGGATATTGTAGATACCTGGTAGAGTCGTTCATCTCTCCTGGTCAGGAAGAACCCTTTGTCTCTTGGTTGTTACTTAAAGTTTTTTATGCTTTGTATTTTCTACTGTGAAGGTTAATTTCTAGTTTACCTGAAAGATGACTTGACTTCCAGCCTTACTTACCTATGAAAAATATTTTCTGCTCTAAAAGTTCTGGAAACTTGACTTGAGATGGAAGATAAGAATGCTATTTTAACATCTTCCTTAAGAGAGCTCATTGTGAAATAGCTCACAAACAAGGCCTGAGACATTTTTCTTTACTGTGGTCAAAGGGGTTTTAGGAGAGCAAAATATCTATCAGTGGAACAACTGTGGGGAGAGGTAAGATGTGTCACTATTCTAGGCCTTGGATGAGTCCTGATGCAGAGGTCATTTTTCTGTTTCTATTTTGGTTTATCTATAAATGAATTGAAGTGTGATCTAATAGTCAGTATTGTGCAGCTTTAAAAATAAAAGTTGACCTCTCTTTTCTGCATATATACACATAGACTTTTAAATACATAAATAGTCAACACTACTGAGTTTATTGGTTGGTTGGGTTTGGTTGGATGTTTAGTGCAGACTTTTTTTTTTTTCTTATTTATGTGGCTTTTCCTTCCTCTCTTCTCCCTCCATTTGCATTGGCCTTCCCTGCCCCCACTCCCATAATTTATGATGACAACCTAGATTGTCGGCTTCCATGCTAATATGATATACATGAAGATGAAGGGGAATCATTACTTTACAGAACTGAGATCATATAATAGGTACTTTTCAATAAATATCTTTTTTTTCCTCATTCAACATTACCTTGTGGAAATCTGTCCTGATCAATTGGTAAAAATCAAATTCACCTTTAATAATGACTGGCTGCTTTTTTGTAGTATATACCATGACTTATTTAACCATCCCTCTATTGATGATAACCACTTTCTTCTCTATTTTGTGTTACTGTGGAGAGTGATGTTTTTAGTGCTTTCATTTCTAAGTGTTAATTCCTAGGAGTGAGTTTCTGAAGTCAGACTATAGAATGTTATTTGAAAAACATAAGGCAGAGGATAGGAGACATAAGAGATGCAGGTTCAATCCCTGGATCGGGAAGATCCCCTGCAGGAGGAAATGGCAACCCACTCTGGTATTCCTGCCTGGGAAATCCCATGGACACAGGAGCCTGGTCAGCTGCAGTTCATAGGGTTGTAAAGAATTGGACACAACTGAGTGACTCAGTACACACGGCAGAGCGTGTCCTTGAGTAAGAAGACTTATTACAAAAATGTCAGTTCTTCCAAAATTAGTATATAAACTTAATACTGCTCCGTTTAGGATCCAACAAGAGTTTGTGTGTCTTAAATGGATATTATTGTCATAAAATATACACAGAAGAATAAATTCACAAGAAGAGCCAGAAAAAAACAGTTTTTAAATAATCACAATGGGAAACTTCTGGAGTAGGAAATGGCAACCCACTCCAGTATTCTTGCCTGGGAAATCCCATGGACAGAGGAGCCTGGCAGGCTACAGTCCACAGGAATACAAAGAGTTGGGCACAAGTGAGTGACTGAACACATACACACAATAGGAAACTTCCACCACTTGATATTAGAACATATTATAATGCTGCCTGTTATCAAACATTACAAAATTTGAATAAAAATGGATAGCTCCATCAGTGGCAGAGGATCATTCAAAGCCATGTCCTAGCATAAAAGATAACATATTTAAACTCAGAGGGGAGAAGATGGATTATTTAATGAATGGTATTGGACATAACTGAATATCCACCTGGAAGAAAGTAAAACTTACATCATGTACAAAAATTAAATTCTAAGATTAAACAACCTAAAATTTTAAATTATCACATGAAAATTCTTCAAGAAAACAGGAGACTTCATGTACAATCTAGGAATTCCTTCTGAACCATGACTGGTAATGCAAAGGCACTTAAAAAAAAAAGACAAATGATTTTGCAGTAAAAAAAAATAGATTTGTATGACCAAAGAAACTGTAAACAAAGTCAGTAGAATACTTAAAATTTCTGAAAAGAAATTTTAAAATATACAAAGGATAGGACGATAACATTCTCAGGAAAGCAAGTCCAGGTACTGACAGTCTAGTAAAAATGCCTTTAAATTCACTCAGATAAATGTTAAATAATAGTGAAGTACTGCTTTTTTACTTATCAGATTGGTTACAAAAAGACTAAATATGAATAGCCAGCAAAAAAGTATATTATTATAGTTTTTTTAAGAAATAAGGTATCATAAATATGTTACTTTTTAGCCTGACAAATATTTTTAACCTGAAGCAGGGTTGTTTTTTAATAACAATACTTTCATGTTTGTAGATATTTGGGGGTGCTGGTTTTCATAAATGACCCTATTTATATTCATTCTTGGCAAATGACTTGATGTTTGGATATGGAAAGCATAGGAAGGAAAAAGTGTAGTTTCCATAAGTGCTGAGGCACTGATCCCTGGATATTTGAGAACAGTTTATATTTACATTTTTCATGGTCTTAAAAAAGAGTAAATAAAGATTTGAAGCAGCATATTAGAAGAGCATACACCATAGCTAAGAAAACTGACCCAGAATGACCAACACCGAAGCATATTTCAGTAAAACTATTGGACTTTAAAGACAGGAAAGTCCTTTGAGAATTCAAGCAAAAAAGATGAAGCCACTTACAAGGGAGAGTAAGTCAGAATATCATCAGACTTTCCAACAGGAATAGTCTATGCCAGAGAAAAAGAGTTACACATTTAAGATATCCAAGGATGGAGAAAGTCAGCCGAGGATTTTTACATCCAGCCAAATTGATTTCCGAGTGTAAAAGCTGTGGAGAAACCTATCCACTTGCAGTAATTCAGGGACTTTTGAGCTCTACCTGAAAAATCTGCTAGAAAATAAGCTTCAAACAACCGAAATAACCAGAGAGACCCTAATACAAGGACTAGTGGTGAGCATTAAGTATAGGTTTACTTGTAGAATTAAATCCAAGTGACAGTTGATACAGGTGAAGGTATTGTATGTGGTGGCTGTAAGCTCTGTGTAGATATAATACAGCTCTCCAAAAGAAATGAACAGACAATGGGGGAGAGCATGAGCAAAATGTTTCACTGTTTTCAGGAACCATCAAGGTGATGAGAGTATTGGTCTTGTTATTCCTAGGCTGGTGTGTGTGTATGAAAGAGAGAGAGAGATGTGGAATAAAACAAGTAAGTGATCATGTGATATTCTGATTCATTCCTGGTATCCTGAAGAAACAGGAATCTCCTGGAGGAAAAAAGATTATATATATATATTATATATATGTATAATAGAAGGTAAAAACTGTATAGTTGTGAGTTTAAATTAGATGTATCAGTATGAACTCATAAGATACTTGATACTGAAATATGTGTTAGGTATATATGTATACATATGTACACACACTTAACACACTAGACTCACTGAAAAGGTCTGGAAGCAAGAACCAACCCAGCAGAAATGATCATCAGTAGTCCTCAGACTGTGGTCTTCTGTCAGTACTTCCCACAAAAGCAGCCAGGGTTTCTGGAGAAATGGCTGATTCTAGGTCCAGAGCAGAAAATGTAAAAGATGACCCAGAAGCATCTTGGAAGCCTGGAGCCAGGTAGCAAGGAAAGTAACAGTATTTCATATCAGAAGTATTCATGGACAGGAAGCTTGCTTTAGGCAAGTAAACAGTGTTTCACATCAGAAGTATTCATGGGCCAGTGTGAGGAGGCTTCCTTTGGTCTGAGATGTGATGATTCGATCATCCACATGGACAGTAACTAGAATGTGAACTCATAATACTTAACAACACCTAATTGGTCACCTTTGGAGGATAATAACAACCCAAATTATTGTTTTGGGATCTGATAAAAGTAGTGAGCATTTATTTTGCCTTTTCCTACATACACTACCCCTGGGGGACCAGGTAATAGATGAGGGGAAATTATTCTTTATAGTAAAATATTCTAACTAGTAGTGAAAAGGGATAGTTGAATAAGAATATCACCACTTTAGGGCCTTTGGTGAATGAATGGACCTGGGCCTTTGAGTAGCAATCACTGCTGACATCACAGAAAGAGACAACTGAGGCACGATTGCCTTCTTACCGAACTCACTACCATCTATGAAGGATAAACGGAATCTAAATCTGATCAAGCCTCTACATCCAGTTTACAGGAATTTAGAAGACAACATGTTAAGCTATGCCATGTGGATGCAGTCAGCAAATTCCAGACTATGGGAAAGTACAGGTCAAACAGCCAGGTTTCTTCAACAAATAAAATACAAGGGGAAAAAAAAGATGAAGGGGAAGCCTGTGAATTAAGTGATTTAAAAGGAATCTTACCAGAATCAGTTCAGTTCAGTCGCTCAGTTGTGTCCAGCTATTTGCAACACCATGAATCGCAGCACGCCAGGCCTCCCTGTCCATCACAAACTCCCGGAGTTTACTCAAACAAACCCATGCCCATCAAGTCGGTAATGCCATCCAGCCATCTCATCCTCTGTCGTCCCTTTCTCCTCCTGCCCCCAAATCCCTCCCAGCATCAGGGCTTAGCAGATTAGTCTGGAGTTTTTAGGGATGCATGTTTGTGAAAGTTCTGGAGAAAAGCAAAGTAGTGATGACCGTAGAACATGGATTGTGACGGTTGTCACGGGGTGGGGGTGGGGCAGGGGGAGAGGGCCCATGGAGGGCTTCCAGGGTTTCTTCAAAGTCCTGTTTCTTGGCCTGAGTGGTGGATCCAGGGGTGTTTCCCTTATAGTAATTAAGTTATTTATTTGATTCATGTGATTTTCTCAATTGCAGTATTTTACAACCCAAAGATTAAAAAGCTGATAAAACCTCTGTTGATTTTCATTTACTCCCTGAAGATTGAAGAGTCCTTTATGTATGAAGCTAGGCAGATAAGATAGTCATTGACTCCCTGTTACTTCCCACATTCCCTGTGTGTACTTGAGAGATCTGGTGGAGAATTCAGTTGCTCAGCAGTTATTTACTGAGCATCTGCTGTGTCAGACATTATTCTGGGTGCTGAGGCTACAGCAGTGAGCCACACTTAAAAACCTTGCCCTCGGGGAGCTCACACTCTAGTGGAGAAGAGAGGTGTTGAACAAAGTGAAATATTTTTTAGGAAATGAGAAGTGTTCTAGAGAACTATTAACCGGGAAACAGGGTGAGGGAGTCGGGGGGGTGGGGTTGGGGTCCAGTTTTAAACAGAGTGGTTGGAGAGAGCCTTACTCAAAGTGACATTTGAATCAAAACCTGAAAGGAGATGAGGGCACAGATTGCAGATCTGCAGGGAAAGGGTGTTCTAGTCAGGAGGAACCGAGTGCCTAAGGGTGAGGAGGCCTAATGTGAGATCCACCAGCTGTGATGAAGGGTCGGTCAGAAAGCCCCCATGGCCGGTGACTGGACTGAGTGGGGGGTGGGGGGTGATACGGGAACTGAGGGGTCAGTTAGGTCACTGGGGCACGGTCATCGTGGGGACATGGATTTTTCCTTTGAGCAAGGTGGAAAACCGTTAGAGAATTTGGGGCAGAGGATTTTTCTGCTGACTTCACATGTCAGCTGAAATCCTCTGGCTGCCCTGTTGAAGATTGACTGCGACTGTAAAGCAGAAGCTGCTATGAAACAGATGAAAGAGGATGGTGGTTTAGATGAGTTAGTGAGACTTGTTTATGTTTCCGATACATTTGGATGATAAGACTAATAACTATTGGCAGAGGATTGAATATGACTGTGAGAAAAAGCAAGGAGTCAAGGATGACTCCAAGGGTTTGGCCCACCTGGAATGGTGGAGTTGCCTTCCCTAGGAAGGGAAGAAAGTTAAGGTCTCATCAGATACTGAGGTGGGATGTCATTGTAGCAGTTGGATGTACAGGTGTGGAGTTGAGGGAAGAAATCAATTCTGGAAAATAAATCAGGGGCTGTCGGTATGGATGGTATCTGAAGCCATGAGAATGGATGAGGCAGCAGCAGGCTGAGGCCGAATTACCCCTGACAGGTGCCAGGTGGCCAGCAAGCTTCCACGTGCCTCACGCCTGTCTCCTGAGACTCACCCAATTCCCCTGACTTTTCAGGTTTCTCTTTCATTTCCTGTTAGTAAATCTGAGGCCAAATGGATAACGTTTCCTGAATTTCAGCACAGCTAATTTATTGGTAAATTACAAATTCCAAGTTCTAAATTCTGCTGTTTCCATGATAAGTACTCTACGCTTGTGAGCCAGTTGTACATTTCTTGTTAAGTAGACTCTTAATACAGTATGATTAGTATGATGTAAAGAAATGGGTAATGGAAAGTTTTAATATCTTAATTCTTAATTGACTTATTGCTAACTTGTTTGTTTGTTTTTTCCAGAAAAGCTTTGACCTGGAAATACTACGCCAAAAAAATTCTTTATTACCTAAGACAACAGAAAATTTTGAATAATCTCAAGGCTTTTCTTCAGCAGCCTGATGACTATGAATCGTATCTTGAAGGTGAGACTTCAGCCCTGATACTGTGATAGTCAGCTAAGTTGCCCTTAGGAGCAGCAGTGGAAAGTGGCCCTGATGAAGAAGCAGTGGAGGAAGGAAATTGTACTACATGGGCTTCTGGAGGTTGGGATATATTGGTCTGATCAGTTAGCTAAGCAAAATGATTGCATTTAGAGCTAAGATCTGGTCAGAATCTTGAGCTGTCTGCTAAAGAGTGTTTTCTAAAGATGCACTGTCAGTTCAAAGTATGAAGCTGATATTTTAGCTAAGGAGGTTAATTCCCCATTTTTCTAAGTTTTAAAGTCTCATTTCCACATCAGAAACAAATGTGTCCAGTTTTGTGTCCATGCGACCTTGAGCAAATCCCTTAACCTCTCTGGTTGGAGTTTAATGAGGAAAAAATGTTCCTGCACGTCAGTGAGTCTGCTCGTCCGTGAGTCTGCTCGTCCATAATGAGCAGTGAGTGGAAAGAAGTCCTGTGGACAGGCAAGATGATGGGTAGAACTTTCTGTTCCTGTCCAGTTGGACAAGAACACAATGTGGCTTCATTTTTTAAAAACGATTTTAAATTCCTAACATATTACCCAGACACTCCCACGGATTATGGTTATGAAATATAGGTGTGACTCTTCATTCACTTTCATTCCCTACTCCCAGTGATTTACCCAGTACATTAATTTTTTTTTCTTTATTCAGAATCATGTCTCCATTCTATTCCTGGTCTCATGCAGGCCTCCATGCCTCTCCCAGCAGCAGCTTTCTAAGTAGTACCTGCTTTCATGGGCATCACCCCTTCTGACTCCCAAGTCACCAACATACAGTGCTAAGTCTCTGCCTGCTTTCAGTCCCCTCCTTAATTTGGTTAGGCCTTTCTCCATCACTCTCCAAAATGTGCCATTTGCTCCAGCCAGGCCACTCTCCTCACTGGCACCCTACGCACAGACACCTGGCTTCACCTCCTCATACACGGTGTCCCTTTTCTTTAGGATGCAGTTCTAAGTCCTACTCGCCCTCCAGGTTCATTCCAGGTTTCATTTGCATGAAGTTTCTCTGATGGCTGCAGCACTTGCAGATTTTGCTGCCTCCAGCCTAATTGCAGTCCAAGGGACTCTTAAAAGAGTCTTCTCCAACACCACAGTTCAAAAGCATCAATTCTTCAGTGCTCAACTTTCTTTATAGTCTAACTCTCACATCCATACGTGTCTACTAGAAAAACCATAGCTTTGATGGACCTGTCAGCAAAGTAATGTCTCTGCTTTTTAATATGCTGTCTAGGTTGGTCATAACCTTTTTTCCAAGGAGCAAGCATCTTAATTTCATGACTGCAGTCACCATCTGCAGTGATTATTTTAAGTAGTTGAGTGAATAGAAGTTGGCTCCAGGATTCTGGTTCTGAGTGACAGACTAGAATCATCTGATGCCATTGATGAAGTCTAGGAAGCAGCAGTCAGATACAGTGGATCCCAGAGCCATGCAGTAGAAACCTTGTCACCTGGCTGATGGGGGAACTGAGGCCCGGGAACCAGGCTGGGCTGGTGGAAAAACCAGAACTGGAGTCCAGGTCACTTGATACCCATTGGGGATCAAGTTAGGGAATCGGGGTCCTGAACTGGTTTGAGACCTCATGGATTTTAAGGGAATCCACAACTTCCCAAGTGAAACTATCCTATGACAAATAAGCAAGTTAGCTCTTCGATTCTAGGGTTAAAAAGTGACCTGAGGCAGTGAAGAATAATGATTTTTGACAGTGTCTCTGGTGTGCTCTGTACAGCTTTTTAGCTCTGGGTTTCCTGAGTGTAACTGTTTAATTTCAAAGTCCAGTCATCTCCAAAGTCCACTTACTGGCTCACCTTTCAGGGGAATAGTTTGTGGAAATGGCGTATGTGACATTGCGGACTTTCGACGATTTTTTTTTTTCAAGTCAAAATGCTGTCGTATACTATTGAGTTCTCAGAGTTGTTGGATTTTGAATTACAATTAAGAGGGGGAGAGAAGTAGCCTGAAAAGAGCTCCTTTGTGGTGTTTATCTCTTGGCAGTAGACCATGGATATATGTGTCAGAGTGAGTCCTTGACTTCTGAGAGAGTTTTGGTATATTAATAATAATAATGAAATGTCAGCTCCTTGGTTGTAAGCATGTTGCCCCTTCTCAGTAAATTAGAAGCCAGGCCTGACATCCAGGATAGGAACTGTCTGAGGAGTGGTGTAAAGAGCTATGGCCCCAGGAGTCTGGGACGAATGACCGCTGTTAAGAAAAGGCAAATGTAAGAACTTATCCCGTGATTCTTATTTGTTTCAGGCGCAGTGTATATTGACCAGTACTGCAACCCTCTCTCTGACATAAGTCTCAAGGACATCCAGGCTCAGATTGACAGCATCGTGGAGCTTGTTTGCAAAACCCTCCGGGGCATAAACAGTCGCCACCCCAGCTTGGCCTTCAAGGCAGGTGTGGAATTGCTTTTGATCCAGCTGTATTTGTAAAAGAAAAACCTAGAATGATTGGTTAATTTGGAAAATTCTGCAGTGTGTTCCCATTATGTCCCCCCAAAGCGATTGATAACACAGCCACCTGTTCACCCCGATGATGTCAGAGGCTTCAAACACAGTCTCCTTTCCACCCAGCATTGGCAGCACCTGATGAGCCTTCTGAGGACGCTGCCAGTCTGCGCGTCAGGGCTTGTTGGGGACACGCGTCACGGCGTAATTTGTGCTTGTGTCCTCAGAGCAGGTCTCTTGTGTTTCAGGTGAATCCTCCATGATCATGGAAATAGAGCTCCAGAGTCAGGTGCTGGATGCCATGAACCACGTCCTGTATGACCAGCTGAAGTTCAAGGGGAACCGAATGGATTACTACAATGCCCTGAACTTATATATGCACCAGGTAAATGCGGGGGTGAGAGAAAATACAGTTATAATATATGCTGGTGGAGCTTATCTCTGATGGATCGTACAGTATTTGAGGGCAAGTACTAGATTTTGTTGGTCTGTCAGTGCCTGGTGAAACTTATTTTTTGCCTCTCCTGTGAGGGTATTGCTGTGGATTTTATCTGATTCATCACAGAGCACCCTCTTGTCTGAAAACCCTCGAGGTAAATTCCTGGCTCAAAATAGGTACTCCTCTGACTCAGTGTGGTCAGATCACTTCTTGTGAACAGTAAACTGTGAAACTAAGCAGGTCTCCCTTTTTGTACCAGCCTCCAGGAAGACTGGGGAAATAAGTGATCAACTGTGCCATTGACGCTTACTTTTTGTTTGCTTCCTACTTGTCTCTGTTTTTATATCTGTTCTGTTGCTCTCTCTGAGACCTGTATTTTCTTTTGTCATAACTTACACACTTTTCTTTGAAATACCCTTAAGTTCTTCCTAGAAAAAGGAGGGCCTGAACCATAGGTCTAAAGACTTTTGCTGTGAAGGCCAGACTTCTCTTGGCCTGGCTCTGCAGGCCGAATGCCCTGTGTCCTAACTGCTCAGTTCTGCCCTAGTCATGTGAAGGAAAACTTGGCAAATCATCCAGAAACAAAGGAGTGTGGCTGTGTTCCCATAAAACTTTGTGTGTGGACGTGGACATGTGAATTTCACATAGGTTTCACATTTTATGAAATAGTGTTCAGTCAACTTTTTGTAAACATTAAAAACAGGCTAAAATTCTTCTTAAGCAGGCAGTCCAAAAACAGCTGGTTGGTCTGATGTGGACTGTAGTCTGCAGAGCCCTGATCTAAATAAATAAAATACTCATCCATTTAAGTCTGAAAAACCTATCCTTGCACCTGCTGCACAGTGGGCACTGACTGGGAAGGTGTGTGGAAGAGGCAAGAAGGTGTGGTTCATTTGTGTGAAGCTAAAGCCTGCTTTCTCCTCTAGGTGTTAATCCGCAGAACAGGAATCCCCATCAGCATGTCTCTGCTCTACCTGACAATTGCCCGGCAGTTGGGGGTCCCACTGGAGCCTGTCAACTTCCCCAGCCACTTCTTACTAAGGTGGTGCCAAGGTGCAGAAGGGTGAGCCATCTCTGACGCCGCGTGATTGCCCTGTGCTGAGAGAAGTGTAACAGCGGAGGTTATCAAGGGGACCAGGGTGGTGAGAGAGCTGGTTTGCTCTTGATTGAATCCAAATCCATAATCTGCTCAGGGGAGAAGGGCAGTCTGCATTCTTCTACCTTGTTTCTCCTCAACGGGAGTGTGAATCTCCAGATATCTCAAAGAAACCAGTTTTGTCAAAGAAAATAGTTATCTCAAAGAAAACAGTTTACTTTTGAAGGACTAACAGTTCAGGGTCTTGTATGAATCTCAAAGTCCCTTTGTTCCAAAGCAAATCAGTGACAAAGAATTCTTTTTTTATGTGTGGGTTTTTTTTTCCATTTATTTTTATTAGTTGGAGGCTAATTACTTTACAATATTGTAGTGGTTTTTGCCATACATTGACATGAATCAGCCATGGATTTACATGTATTCACCATCCCGATCCCCCCTCCCACCTCCCTCTCCACCCGATCCCTCTGGGTCTTCCCAGTGCACCAGGCCCGAAGAATTCTTAAGCTGTTTCTTCCCAGTCTTCCATAAAACCTCCCACAGAAAGGAGGTGGGGGTGGGGTGGGGGACGGAGGAAGAGGCTTGGGAGAGAGAACTGGGCAGCCAGGTTCTTCATTCCTTTGCAAAAACGAATAGGAGTGTTCTCAGCAGGGGAGCTCCTTCAGGCAAGGTTAGTGACCAGTGTGCCTGCTTTGCAGACCAGGTTAAAGCATTCTGGTTTGTTCTCTGTCTCTCTTTTTTTAAACCTGGTATTCTATTGGACATAAAGCTCCTTTATAGCAGTAGTCTGGCTTTTCTGAAAGCAGTTCATCAAATGGGTAGAGATGCCCTCATTTTAAAAGTGCCCTTTAGAGGGAAAAGAAACAAACTTATTTGATTACACCCTGTTTTTTGAGACTACTTCCTGATGACTGGCTGAGGTACCCTTTGCTGAAGTGATGAGCAGAATGATAGAAAGTAGCTGAGCTCTGAAGTTAGACTGGGTTCAGACATAAGCTTCCTCTGGGCTTCAGTTTTTTCCTGTGTAAGATAGGGCTGATGTTTTTCATACAGTGGTTTGGAGGGTTCGGTGAGAGAACCTAACGCTTTACACACGTGGCGGATTCCGATGCTGGCCTCTGTGTTTCCACCTCTGGGTTTGGGAAATAAAACACCTCCTTGGTATTCTTCTGCATTCTTTTCTTCCTCCTCTCCTTTATAGAGGTTAGCTTGAAAGTATTTGTTATTTCCATGCATATTTTTATATTCTATTACGTGTGTGTTTCCTTAAATAGCAAGTACAGGCTTCCCTGTTTCCCAAATATAATCTGTTTCTTAAGATGTATTGGATAGTTTCTCTGTGGGAGAGCAGGCGCCCATTTTCCATTATTTTAAATGAAAAGAAAAAAATGCTTTTTCAGCCCATTCCCTCCCCCTGAGTAACTCAACCAATTTCCCCAAATATCTAAAACATCCTTAAATGTTTATATTATATAATGGTCCACCAAGAACTTCTTCATGATACAGAGCATTTAAAACACCAATTACCATGTTATTGACCACAGTAACCTAATTGCTGGGCACATTTGTGTGTGCCCACAGGACTATTTTTCCTTCTTTAGGCTGCAGTGAATGTATACCACATTGCAGATGAACAGTGAAGTGGTTTGTTAGCACCCCAAACTCCTGGCGGACACTGAGACCTGTGAGGTCTGGCCTGTGGGAGCGCGCACGCCTGCTGGGCCTTCAGCCTCCGGGTCTGCACCAAGACCATAGTGCTTGCTGACTGTGACCTTATCGTGAGTCTTAAAGACTAGGAGGCTGAGACCTGTGTGGAGTCCTTCAAAATCACCCTGGCTCCTCTAAGCCTGAAGCCCACGTGCAGCTTTAGAGTCCGCTGGTCAGGCCCCTTGAAACTCTCGTGTGGTAGCTGGCCCCAGAGCGTCTCTGGATTCATGGATTCGTGTGAGGAGCATGCCATGTGTGTCCCTTCTCCGTTTGTATGCTTCCACGTTGAATTCATCTTTAATGTCCTTCAAAGGATTTTACTCTTTTCTTTAGCCAGCTCTTTGACATCGTGTCAGTTATTCCTGTGTACCTTCACTTTGTGTTGCTATTGAAGATGGTCATTGTTTAAATGACACTTTTATGTATTGGTGGTGTACAGGGCTATGGCTGATTCTTAAATCTAGGTTGATTGTTGGCCCCTCTGCTGAATCAAGTATTAGTGCTAATAAATGGTTAGGTCTTTCAGCCTTTCTGTGTGGATAATCATATTGTCTGAATCATGACATTTTATTTCTTTTTTTTTTTTCCCCAGCTGTTATATGTTTGTGTCTCTTTCACTTACTATGCTGGCTAGGTCCTCTTGTACACAGTGAATAGAAACAGTGATAGCAGGCACTCTGCCTTGGATATGACTTTACAATTTCACCTCAGACATGATGTTTGAGAGCAGTACCTTTCATTGAGATGATCAAAACTGCCTTCTAAAATTGTAATTTCCTGAGAGTTTTATTAATAACTAGGATTTTTATCCCCTCAAATTTCTTTTCTGTGTCTACAGATAGAATCGTATGATTTTGCTCTTTTAGTCTGCATGTGCTGAAGTTTTTTAGCATTCAACCCTTGTTTCATTCTTAGGAAACAGTCATACAGATTTTGGTCATACATCACTGTATTTGATTTGGTCATATTGTATTTAAAATTTTTGCCCATAAACTTGTGTCCATTTGTGTGGTTCTCCTAGACTAAAAAGAGATTGAAGAGCATTCCTTGTTTCTGGAACATTTATATATGTTTTGCTAAAGCTGGGCTATTGATACGACTCAAGGAAGAAATCTGACAACTTTCTAGCAGCCCAAGAGAAAGTCTCTTGCATGATTTGCAGTCGGCATAAGATCAAAATGAAATAGTTTCTCAAAGGAGAAAACAGCTTTCCCTGAGAGTCCCACCCCAGCCCTTCAGGCATCCTCCTCGGGTAAATGCTGTGTAGTTAGAGGTACTGCAGTAAGAACTCGCCTCCTAGGACCACCTCCCTGCCTGGCTCTGGTGTTGCCGGCCACACCCCCACCACTCCCCATGCCTACCCCGCCTCGTGCGAGAGCTGGGTTCGTGGAAAGCAGTTCCAGAGGAGCAGGGGTGGAGGCCAGGGACACACCTCGCCGTGGTCCGGAGCAGGTTCTCACCTGAGCCGCCTGAGGGTGTCTGCAGAGCTGAGGCCTTGCGGCTCAGACTCCCCTAACTTTCATCACAGTCTCGAGGGGCCCTAGCTCCACACATAGTAACTGCTGCTCTGTGGAATTTATTGACTGCCTCAGGCATTCCAGAAATGCCTCTTTCAACTGGATTTTGGATAGATCTGCCTGGCAGTGAGTTTTAGGGTTACTGTCTCTAAAAACCTATATTAAATGGCACAAACCAGTGCTGTTTCTTATATACAGGTGTATCACCATCTTATTTCATCAGAGTATGTATAAAGGTCAGCTTTCAGACTTTGGACAAGGCCTTGATATTTTCAGCAGAAATGCAACTGTGTTAACATTCTGTCTCTGATTTGAGCTGCTTATTAGGGGGTTTTGACTGGTTCAGCTCCAGCCTGAGTGACAACTCACTACATTGCTGCTCTTTGGGCAGGGCGACCCTGGACATCTTTGACTACATCTACATAGATGCTTTTGGGAAAGGCAAGCAGCTGACAGTGAAAGAGTGTGAATACCTGATCGGCCAGCATGTGACCGCGGCACTGTACGGGGTGGTGAATGTGAAGAAGGTGTTGCAGCGAATGGTGGGAAACCTGTTAAGTCTAGGAAAGCGGTAAGGGTTTCTCGGTTTTCCAGTTCTTTCGTAGTCTGCGTCTTTGAAGGCGCAGATTGCCTCGCAGAGAATTTTGTTTCACAAGCCTGCCTGCCATACTGAGCAGCACTGGATGCTCGCGGCACCGCTGGGACCACAGGGGAGGGACTGGTTCCCACGACGTCATACTGTCCAGACTGTGGATGTGCTCAGTGACTCTTCCTGAGATCTTTGCAGTGGACTTGGGCAAGGGCTCTCTTATAAAAGCTGAAAGCATTCTCCAGTAACAAAACATTTTAGACTGGCGATTATAAGAACTGATGCTGATGCAGAAGCTCCAGTACTTTGGCCATCTGATGCAAAGAGCTGACTCACTGGAAAAGACTCTGATGATGGGAAAGATTGAGGGCAGGAGAAGGGGGCAACAGAGGATGAGACGGTTAGATGGCATCACCAACTCAATGAACACGAGTTTTGAGCAAACTTTGGGAGATGGTGAAGGGCAGAAAAGCCTGACGTCCTGCAGTCTATGGGGTTGCAAAGAGTTGGACATGACTTAGTGACTGAACAACAATACCAATCACTTAGTTAAGGGAACAAGCGAAAATATGAAACAGTCTGGCTTCTGAGTCCAAAGAAAAGTGTCTTACAGGGAAAAAAGAAATTTATACATTGGAGTCATGGTTTTCTGCCTAATGGTAGAATATTTTTTAAAATAGACTTTAATCTTCTTTAAAAAAAAAAAAAGTTTTAGGGGGACTTCCCATAAAGTCCACTTTTCTAAAGTGGTCCAGTGGTTAAGACTACACCTCCCAATGCAGGAAGTGCAGGTTTGATTCCTGGTCAGGGAGCGAAGATCCCACATGCCACACAGCCAAAAACACTAAAACATTAAAAAAAAAAAAGAAGCAGCAATATTTTAACAAATTCAGTAAAGACTAAAAATGGCCTGCATCAAAAAAAAAAACAAAACAGTTTTAGGTTCACAGCAAAACCTGAGCAAAAAGTCCAGAATGTTCCCTTTTACCCCCTGCCTCCAGACATGCACAGCCTCCCTCACATCAGCATCCCCTCCAGAGGCATTACAGTTGTTGAGCCTACCATCCTTTACATTAGGGTTTGCTCTTGATGGTGTCCAGTCCATGGATTTTAACAAATGTGTGATGACACCTGCCCACCACTATAGCATCATCTAGAATAGTTTCACTTTCCTGAAAGACCTCCGTGCACCACCTATTCAGAATCCACATCTAATTTATGTATGGTGCTATTGAGGTGACTTCCAAGGAAAGCACTTTTATGATTTTAAATTAGTGGGGTACAAAATTTCTGTCCCTTCCTTTTGTTACGAACACTGTAACTTTGCTAAACAGGAAGTATCAGAATCAGAGAACCTGTGGGATTTGTGTCCCATTCATTTTAAAACCTGGTCTTTGAAAAAACAGGTCCTAACTCGGAAGCCAACAGGCTTAAATGAAGCTTTCTTCCCCACAGGGAAGGCATCGACCAGTCCTACCAGCTCCTAAGGGACTCTCTGGACCTGTACTTGGCGATGTACCCCGACCAGGTGCAGCTGCTGCTCCTCCAAGCCAGGCTTTACTTCCACCTGGGTATCTGGCCAGAGAAGGTAATTATTTTATCTTGATGCTCTCCCCTTGCCGTAGAGAGGGAAATCCTAATTGAAAGGCGGCACTTACCGGTTTATCCTTGGATTAACCTGGGGGATAAACACAGATTTATTCAAAGTGTCACAGTTTTGACCCATCGATTGAATTTTTTGTCTCCTTTTATTCTCCTGAAAAATTGGCTATCCTGCCAGGAGTTGCCCATTCTCTTTGTGATCAGCACCTTAAACTCCCAGAACCACAAGGCCTCTGTCCTACTGCTCACCCACTGGTGGCCCAAAGACGTCTTTTCCCCCAAGTCCCCCTCAGGGGGAAGCAGAAGTTTCAAGTGTTCATCCTCCAGCTGTGCTGTTAGAGACTAAACCGACCTGGAGGCATAGAAAAAGGAGATATCAGATTTGCTTAGTCTTGCTGCTGGGTGCAGTAAGGTTGGTGCACACCTTTAAAAGCTGTTGGGTTTTGATACCATTCCATGTGGATCTTGCAGGCTGGCGACACCCCCTTTGGCGGGCAGAAAGCCCTGTCAGCGCTTCCTGACCATGTTTGAGGTCAGCCCTGCTGTGGGCGTAACACATGTGGCTTCCAGCCGCACTGCATGTGCTGGGGCAGCTGCTCATTCCCGTCCCACCCTCGCTTGTCCCTGAGAATATGTTCATAGTCCACTTTGTTTGGACAGCCTGGTGAGAGAACTGACTTCAGAGCTCTCTCAGGACTGTCATCAAGAAATCGTCAGCCCTGTCACTGGAGAGTGGGAAAGCCTTCCCTAAGAAAGTAAATAGTCTCAGTGACCCAGCACAGCTTAGATTTACGGTGTCTCGTCTATTCACAGTGTCACACATCTGCCGTAGTTCTGAGAAAGGATGTGGCAGTAGGAAAAGTCCTGGGCTCCTATCTTAAGATGTTGCCTCCAGCCCAGACAGCAGCCGTCTTCCCAGGACCCCCATGGGATCCAAAAGAGGAAAATGAGACTCTCTACCAAGTCACCACCTGCCTCCCAGCACCTTGTTGTCCAGAATTGAACAGCTGACTTTTTATCTTTTTACTTTATTTTTGATACCAGCATATACATAACTAATTCCTGTCACTTTTTACTGTATATTGGTTAAGGAATTTCATGATAGTTTATGAGACTCAGAGATGCTTTCAAAGTGTGGTTCCTCCCAAGTAGATTCTGTACTGAAATCACACATCAGCCTTAGGAGGAGAGGGGTCAACGTCCCCTCTAGGAGGAACGTCTGCCGAAGTGCTGGCATCCCTCCCTTTAATGCTGGGCTCCATTTAGGGCTCCTCTGCCATTTCCAGGGAGTTTCCTCGGCCTCCTCCTTGGATGGCCAAGATTGCCTTCCTGTTAAGCAGAGGTCACTGGAGCAAGTTCCAAAAACTGTCTCACGCAGAACATTTTTCTCCAAGACGTGGGCTGCCGGGGTCGGGCACCTAGACCCCTCGCCCCGCCCCCTCCTCTCCGCGTCTGAGATCAGGAGAGGAAAGTGGCCCTTTCCCTTCCCACAGCTCACCTCCCGTGCTCCGTGAACTATACTCCAGCTGCAGCAAGAAAGAGGAGCTGGGCCCCCAGTAAGGAAGATCCCCAGGGGTGCAGAGCAGTTAGAAGACAGTCTGCTCCGGAGGAAGGTTTGAGGTGCCCCTGGAAGGCCCAGGAAGGATTTCAGAGCAAGGAGTAGGTTCCTCCAGGGGTGAGGGGGACGACGGCTGGAGAGTTCAGGCTGCATGCCTGCAACACCTGCCAGCCCCTCGGGGTGGATACAAGCTTTTTTGCCCTTTTGTAAATAATGAAACTGAGGCATTGAGAGAAGTTTAGTAATCTGCCAGGGGTTCCTACAGGAGCTGATGGCACCAGGTGTTCAGATTCCAAGCCCACCCACACACTTCACCCCTGTGGACCGGGGTCAGGCGAGATGGTCTCTAAAGAAGCCAACAGATGGGCACTTTCCACTTCCTGCTGCCAAACCTGCATCCTTGCTGTGATCCAGTTATTCCTGCCTCCATTCTCCACATTTCAGTGGAAAAGAAGCCCCTCGGTTTCCCAAGGCACACACCCCTGGGCTCTGGGTCCAGCCTGCTGCCTGTCCAAGGACTGCTAAGTTTTCTTTTGTTTCTCTTCCTGGATGTGCAGGTCCCTGTCTCTACTTCTGTTGTCAGCATTAAACGCACTCAAGTCTCTCTTCATCTTTGAAAAAAGAAAAGACAAAGCCCCCCATGACAGCCGTCTGCTTTGCCCCGCGGCTGCTCCTTATCTGCTCCCAGCCCTGCTCCTTATCTGCTCCCAGCCCGGCCAGGGTCCTGGGGCTAGCCTCCCCATCGCCTCCTACCGCTGCTCAGAACCCAGGCTCTGTTCCCACCCCTCCTCCACGTGAACTGGAAGCCCATGACCCCGCTTGTTAAACTTTTCTCCTTGTTGCCAAATGCAGTGGATACTTGTCTTTCCTTATCTCTCTTGATCACTCAGAGGCCACTTCCCCACCACTCAGAACACTCTGTTCTTTTGACTCCAGTCCCCTGTTTCCAGGTTCTTGCTAGTTCCTGTCCACCCCCTCTCCGTTAAAGGCTCCACACTGGGGGGGTTTGGAGGGGGTGGGGGGGTAGTTTCTAGACTTCCTTCTTCTATTCCCCTCCGTGATCTTACCTGCTTTCCAGTCCTCAGTTCCCATCTGTAGGCTGACGGCTCTTGAATCCCTGCCTTCCTGCCTGGACTCTGGGCTCCACACCAGCAAGTTCAAATGTCTACCACACATCTGCCGGTGGCTGTGTCCCCTCTGTGACCGCATGGGGCACCTGCACAGTCTCCTTCCTTCTCCTCTTAGACCCCTTGAATGCATTTTAAGCACTGGAGTCAGAGTAACCATAACCACGTCACTCGTGGCCCTTCCCTGCTCGGGACCCTCTGAGTGGCTCCCCCCTTGCCTGCAAGGCCAGGCTCCTGCTCTCCGCCGAAGCCTGCCGGGTTCTTGGTGGCCCAATTCCACCAGCGTGTGCCTCCTCACGTTCACTCTGCACTGCCCAGGCTGCATCGTCCTACCACCCCCGTGCTCTTGGGTCCTTCCTCTGCGCACGCTGTAGCTCTGCCTGGAGCTTCCTTCCTGTCCCTCAGCTCTGCGGCTCATGCCTGCTGGAGACGGTGCTCTTTAAAGACCGGGACCATCTGTTTTGTTGTTTTATTTGTGTTGGGTCTTAGTTACAGCACACAGGATCTCCAGTCTTTGTTGTGGCAGGAGCGATCTTTAGTTGCAGCATGTGAACTCTTAACTGGGACGTGTGGGATCTAATTCTCTGACCAGGGGTCAACAGGAGCCCCCTGCATTGGGTACACAGAGTCTTGAGCCCCTGGACCACCAGGGACGTCCTTGCTCAGTTCCTTACTGTAGCTGTTCCCCGGCTTTCAACACAACTCCTCCTACCCCGTAGGTGCTCACAAAATTTTTGAGTGAATAAGAAATGACGGAACATCGTTAGCCTGGACATTTAGCTGGAGATGTCACGGTGGCCCAGTGTCAGCACAGGCCTTCGGGACACACTGGGCATGTCTCGTGGCACCTTCTCTGTTTCTGGCCTCCCCCTTCAGCCCATCATTCCCCACCCCCAACAAGGAAAGGATGTAATTATCCCTGAACCTTATCTCCTCCTCTGACACTCTGAGTTTAAGACTTCCTTTGTGCTTTGAAGATTCCAAGTTAACCTTTCTTTCACTTATCTGGTAGGAAGGGGCTGCCAGGAAGGAGAGGAAGGCTGTGTCTATAGAAAACTTGTCAGAAGTAACTAGTTTTGAACTGCAGAGGGGAACACAAGAGGCTTACTGTGAAACCCGATGCTTTTAGCTACAAGGCACAACTGTGGCTAGTGCCCCTGCAGGACAAGGCCACTGCTGGGGGTGGCAGGTGGATGGGATCGGCTCCAAGCTTGGGGTCATGCCGTTCTGTCCCCTTGATACGTGTTTGAGAATTTTCCTAACAGTTAATTCCAATCCTCCTCTTCCTGCTTTGGTGTGAAGGAGACCGAGACCTGGAGCTGCAAGTCAGCCCCAGGTCCACGTTTTCACTGCATGTCTCCATGACCCCGTGACCTCAGGCACCTTGCTTAACTCCTCTAAGCCTGGTTCCTCTTCTGGAAGTTGGCAGTGACTGGACTGCTGACCTCCAGGTTGGGAGGATTAAATGAAGTTTAAAAAGATGTGTGCCAGGTTTGGCACAGTGAACCAGCAGGAGAAGAATATTCAGGAAATATTGAGATCCTGCAAATCTCATTCTGGAAGACAAGACTGGGTTTTAAAATAATACCTTGTGTTGCAGAAAACTGCAGCATTTGTACTGGCTCACAGTGTGTCAGGAAATAGGGGAGTTTTTAATCATTACTTGATAAGTAGATAAACTAATTCAAAGACAAAAGCACTTGAGTTTGGCAGATTTGGGGCTAGAATCCAGCGTCAATAAATAGGAAGAGATCCTTTTCTAAAACAGAAACACATCAGAGACCCTCATCTGAGAGCTAAGACAGTAGGTGCTTGGTAATTGCTTACGTGAGTTAGCTTTCCTTGAACTTGTATTTTTCCATAGTGCCACTGGGTGCCGTAAAGAGAACAGAACCTCAGGCTCAGGCAGTTCTGCTCCACCAGTTCGTCAGGTAACTTCCAAGGAGAGGGCTTTCTCCCTGTTCTCCTGAACACTAAAGTCCACTGTGAGTTAATGTACTTGACACGACCAGTAGGATCTCCGAGCCCTGTACCTATACATCTTCCTTCTTCACAGAGAGCATCATAACCGTGCTGTGCTGACATGTGTCCATCTCTCCAGTGCCCTCTCTGTGACCCCTCCCCTCTCCTGCTGCCCCGAGGCCACTCTGCACTCAGCCTTTCCATCTTGATTGAAGCAGCTTCACATTTCTTTTTCCAGTTCATGAGCAGCAGGTTGAATTCCTTTCTGTGTATAAGACATAGAGTTCCCCCCCACTGCCCAGGAATGTGCGGACCTGTTAGGCTTCACCTGGCCCCAGTGCATTCACAGACGGCAGCCCTGGCCTCCCCGTCCCATGTGGGCTCCAGTGCCTCATGTTTCTAAATAGAGTTCCTCCCACTCAGGCTGGTTGGACTCGGCTGCCGGGGTCAGCCCCCAGCACGTGAAGCAACGCCGGCTGTACGTGGCACCAGTGGGGAGAGACCCCCGTGGGTCACAGAGACGCAGGCTGTTAGCCCAGCCCACCTTGCCGCCTTTTCATCAGGTTATGCAGGTTTAAATCTATCGCCAGGAAACCGAAAAGGCCTAAATGAAAATATTATCTCCTAGTCTTTCTGTCTTGTCTTGAAGGTGCTTGACATCCTCCAGCACATCCAGACCCTAGACCCGGGGCAGCACGGGGCGGTGGGTTACCTAGTGCAGCACACGCTGGAGCACATTGAGCGGAAGAAGGAGGAGGTGGGGGTGGAGGTCAAGCTTCGCTCCCACGAGAAGCACAGGGACGTCTGCTACTCCATTGGGCTCATTATGAAGCACAAGAGGTGAGTGCTCCTGGCACCTGCCCCAACCCCGCGTGGCTGCCAAGGACACAGCGCCGTGAGCGGTGGGGACCTGACCTGGTGCGGCAGAGACCAAGGCCCATCACAGCGAGGACCAAAGACCAAACTGTATCTTTAACCTTTTTGTTTGTTAAGAAGCAACTGGCTTTCCTAACCGGGAGCTCTTCCAATGAGTGTAGCGTCCGGTCTCTGGGGAGTGGAAGCCCTGTCAGCTGTGTGCTTCCCCTTCTCATCAGCCTCTGTCCCGAAGTCTCACTCTCTGTGGATCTGAGTTCCGTAGGGACTTACCCGGGGGGGTCCTGTGGCTGGTGGATGAGGCACAGTTAACTTGCCCCCCAAAGCACCTGTGCTGATTTACATCCCGCCAGCAGGTCAGGTGCTGAAAGCCTTGAACCTGGCCACCTTGTGTCAGTGAACACCTTGAAAAGTGTACTTCTGTAGTAAGTGGCAGATGGCATTTCGTTGTGGTTTTAATTTACATTTTCCTGGTTGCCACGCAGATCGAGGTTCTTTTCCTGTGTTTACTGGCCTTTGAAGTTTCCTTTGATCAAGTGCCTCTTTGGGCATTTTACGTGTTTTTCAATTGAGTTGTTAGTCTTACTGATTTGCAGTTTCTTTATTCTGTGTATTAGTCTCTATGGGCAGATAAATTACAAATGTCTCTTCTCAGTTTTTGGCTAGTGTTTTCCATTCTTTTACTGCATTCTTTTTTTTTTTTTTTTTTAACTTTGTTGTGAAATTGTCAAGTGTATGTTAGAGCAGAGAGAGGAGTGTAGTGAACCGGGTGATGTTCCCGTGTCCAGCTTCAAAGGTTATCATTATGAGGTCAGTCTTCATTCTGCCTCTGCCGCCTGACTCTCCCCCTCCTCCCTGGAGCAAATACCAGAGGTGATTTCATCTGTAGCTATTTTAGTGACACTAAAAAGGTAAGGGGGCTCTTTTTTTTTTTTAAGACACATTTACCATTCTGTTGTCCTAACTCAGAAAAATATCAACAGTTTGTAATCTCATAAAAAATCTAGTGAGACTTTAGTGTTTCCCCAATTGTACTACTCTCTGGGCTAACTCTGGAAGACAGTGAAGGACAGGGAAACCTGGCTTGCAGTCCGCAAAGAGTCAGACACAACTTAGTGACTCAACAACAGCAGCAACAAGATAGAGAGCAAGCTTGTCAATAAGAGGGGTTTATAAAGAGGCCAGGAGTGAAATTGATTCAGCATAGAGTGAAGGCAGGTAGATCTGTAAGAATGTGAGCCTTGGAGAAGCCAGGCCATCGCCTCTGTGTTCCGCTCTCCTGAGACAGGAAGCTGACGTGTGACTGCTCTTGTGTTGATCAGGTACGGCTATAACTGTGTCATCTATGGCTGGGACCCCACCTGTATGATGGGACACGAGTGGATCCGAAACATGAACGTCCACAGCCTGCCTCACGGCCACCATCAGCCCTTTTACAACGTCCTGGTGGAGGACGGGTCCTGTCGATACGCCGCCCAGGGTGAGTGGCGGGCTCTGTCTGTACCTCAGGCACACGTTTGCGCACTCCGATACTGCAGGCAGAGGTTGTCGGTTTGAGAGTCGGCAGTTGTCACAGGGCCATCAACCTCATCAGGGCTGACACTCAGCTAAACATAGGTGGGTATGTATTTTTGCGACCATATCACAGGTCACTGCCCTGGGGTCTTCCCCCTTAGTCACCACCACACCCCTATTCCAGGCTGTTGCCGACTTCTGTTCTAATTAGTCATTGCCTCTGCCAGTCCTAGTTCCTGGAAGTCCTGTTTCTTAGCCACTGCCTTTGGCTCCCTCCAGGGAAGGAGGGTCAGTTTTTGCCCTGCTCATACTGCTTACCTGAACTGGAGGGCACGGATTGGGCTCTGTTAGGGGAGCCGCCCTAGCACCCTGAAACTGGCAGCCAGGTAAGTTGTGCTTATGAGAGAGACGCCCCCAGTGGCCATCTTGGGAACTGCAGGTCACAGCTCTGGCTCTGAGAGCAGCTGGGAGTCAGCAGGTAGGTGCTCTGTAAGTGTTTGGGGCCACTGCCAGCCCTGACAGGTGCTGACCCAGGGCCCTCATCGTCTTTGCCTCTCCATTTAATGGGATGAATTTATTGCATGCCTGCCTGTCAAGGCATCCACATTGTTCATTTTATTCATAAAAATGAACACGAATGCTTTGTAGTGCTGCTCTGTGACAGCAGCCTTCCGATGGGTATTAACTTCTCTGAGAACTCTAATTGCCATCATCATCATCATCATCATATGCATTTGATACACTAGGAAATTGAAGCATGTAGAGACGTGTAAATTTTACAGAGTATGAACCCAGGCAGCTTGGCAAAGAGCCTTCCCCTAACCATCATGCTGAACCTTTTTGCATCTCACCTAAAACAAGGTTTGACCTAAGTCAGTATTATGTTCTGTCTGGTGAATCCAGTAATAGAAATGTTGGATGTATAAAAATCTCAGAAGTGCCAACAGGACTAGAAAAGGGCTCATGTTAATTACTATTAATTCATCAGAATATGAGAGAGGATCTTATAAAAGAGAACTTCCCTTTATTGAGACCACAGGTCACCTAACCTCCATCAGCCCAAGGGGAGTTATGAGAGTGGGTGGCATGCACCCCATGTCAGATGGAGATACTGACCAGACAGAGATACTGACAGTGATTTTATTTAATGTAAGAATATGTGTCAGATTAAAAAAAAAATTATCCTACAAATTTTAGCAATCAAGTTATTTGGGAATTGCCGAACGCGTCATGGACGGTTTGCACCCCCACCGATCACTCAGTGCGCGTTGCGCACTGCGCGTCACGGAGCGCGTCGTGAGAATAGAGACTGTCAGCGCTGGGGGCCAGTGTCTCAGCCGCACCTTATCCAGTCGCTGCCCGTTACCCGGGGTTGACATCAAGACTTGTAGTATCTGATATTTGGGTGTCTAGAAACAGTCATGTTAACTTTAAAACGGGCTTTTTAGAGTAGGTAAAGCTGGATATTTGGTTTCAAGGTGTTCTGAATTTGTCCAATGTGCCAATAATTCAGGAACGCATCCTAATCGTATCTGAAGTCAGCATGTGCTGTAAGGCTCACTGCAAGAATACTGTAATGACTTTTTTTTTTTTAATAAATGTAGTATCTGCTTATCAGTTTCACACTCTCTCAAACTAAGGTTGAAGGATCATAGATAAAGGTAGCAAATTGCCCTTTTTAAGTTTAAATTCTGGGACTTACAGGAAATTCTTAGAACTGAGAATGGATATCACCCTGTGATGGCTGCTAGTGGTTTTGTCGGCCCGAGGTCCACATTTTCCCAGCACGTGTGTGCCCAGGGGTCCTGGGCTCTGGGGTTCAGCACTGAAGAAGAGCCCTATCGTAGCCCCCGGAGGCCGGCCCACCCTGCCCTGGCAGGCCTCTCCTCGGGGTTCTTCCCAGGCCCGGCCTTCACTCCTGTGGCCTCCTTAATGGTTGTGTTCGGTTGTTATGTCTCTTCTCTCTTGGTAAAGAACAGCTCCTTAATTCCCATCTTTTTCCCCCTTTTCACAAGACTTTGACTTTTTGAAGAGTCCGGACCAATTGTCTTATAAATTGTCATAACAGTCTGGATTTGTCTCACTGTTCCTTTGCATGTCGTCTGTAAACCAGAAGTTAACCTCAGGTTGTATTAGAGTTGGGGTTTTGCCTGGGAACTTGCCCTTGGGTGCCGTGTGGTTCATGTTGCGTCTCGTCCAGAGGCCGTGGGGTTCCATGTCCACTGTCAGTGAGGCGGAGTTTGGTCACTTGGCCAAGACAGTGGCACCCTGTAAGGAATAGTGTTCCGTCTGCAGTTGACAAGAAATCCGTGGGGTCAAACTCTGACCCAGTCCTGGGTATAACCTGTGCCCCAGCGACGACCTTTGTCCTTGTGTCTGTTTTACCTCCTATTGGCTCTTCCTGCCTAAATCATGATCGGAGAGTTGCAAAATGGTGATTTTCTGCTGCGAGTGTACCCTTTAGTTCTGTGAAGGATAGCTTTGCCCCCTCTCGCTTTCCTCTCCACCGCCACCTCTCTCTCCTCTCCTCTCCCTTGCTGTCTCTCCCTCTCTCCTTCCCCCCCTTCCCAAAGATTGCTGGATTTTTTGTTTAGTCAATGTGTTATAATCATTTGGAACAATTTTATGCTCAGGTTAGCCCACATTTAGCCAGAGAGCGATCTTGAGAGGCTACACTTTAAAAGCACTTATTTAAATATATTTTTGAACATTTCTGGGCTAATATATTTGCATTAAATTATTTTTAAACTTTCATCTTCTAAATTTTCAACCTTTGGCTGCATTGATCCTAGTAATCTGGGCAGAGCCCATTAATGAATGCCTTTCTCTCCACTCTCCACAGAGTTGAAGAGTGAGTTATAAGCCACATATGTGTGCGCCATCCTCAAATAGTTTTAGCCTGCAGCATTAAGAGATGTTTTCCATCAGTATTTTAATAGGCTCTACAGCGTTTTGCTTGTTTATAATTTTGCTACCATTAGGGGGCATGCTTTAGTATTTTTCTGATACCAGGAACTCCTGTCTCGGCTTCCCTGCATACTTCTTAGATCTGGAGAAAGTGACTATCACAGATGCTCTGAATGTAAGCCAGGTGCCACATTGCAAAGTGAGGAATTAGGCTGTGCTGTGAAAACCTGGTTTTTGCATGCTTCGTGTGTGATGGTAAAGCACCTGGTTGAATGCTTGGGTCCAAGTGTGCCCTCACCCAGCGTCAGTTTCATTTTCCATGATTTGTCCTCCACTTCCAAACTAGTTTCCTCCATAGCCCCCACCCTACCACCCCACCCCCCCACAGACATAGCCTGAGTTAGCCTGCACACGCTGTTAACTGTGATGATCCCCTGTGTCAGGGCTGGGGTGTAAATTTGCAGCCACCTTTGAGGGCGGTTTGGTGCTGTCTTTTAAGTTGTCAAAATCTCAAGTGCCTGTTTTCCTCTGACCTGGCAGCTACCCCAGTCGGTCCCTCCACTAGAGACGCCCTCACACAGGGGGCCTGCGGTCCCCTTGTTACGACAGAGAAACAGTGTCAGGCATGGTACTCGCCTGGTCAGTGGAGGTGTATCCAAACTTGGGGATGCTAAGCTTCAGCCAAATAAACCACCCGCAGGTCAGTGCTTACTGTATGCTTTGTATGAATAAACACATGAGACAACATGGAGTTACCTTCTGAGTACATGTAGGTATATTTGACTGCGTGTATATGTGTTTATACAAGGACTGGGAAGCTAGACCCGCAGTCCTAGTGGACATCCCTGTGTTGGACCAGCACAGAGCTGTCTGGACCACAGTGTGTCCAGCACCTGCTCTGAAGAAAGTCAGACACACGCTTCAGCATCGCTTCTTTCCCCCTCTTTTTCTAAGCATCACTCAGCAGCAGCGTGGTGTTGGCTGACCAAGCCCTCTTGGGAGGGCTTGACAGGTGCCCCCAGAGGACTCAGGGGTACTGCTTCTAGGCTTTTACAGGGAGGTATGCTGAAAATGATGTACCTTTGATATAGGTAGCTGAAAATTTTAAATAAAATCAGAAACATTTCTCAGAAAATATTGGGGGAATCAAATTCTTCCCATGATTTTTCCAGGCATTTTAAGTAGTCCCTGTTTAATATTTTTCTCTCAAGTTGTATTTCACTTAGACTTCTTCCTTAAAATTTTTTTAAAACTTCAAAATAATTTTTAAACTCAATACAGTGGATTGGGAATTATCTTCCCCTCATAACTCATAGCTGCCAACTTCAGTGTCTGGTTTTCTCCTAAAAAAAGTATCTTTTGTTAGTACAGTTTTCCTGTTTTGCTGGGAGCCCAGGCAGGCAGACACACCACATTCAGTCTGCGCTCCTGGTTGACAGCTTAGAGCAGGGCTGTGAGCACCCCGTGGACTGTCACTGCCCCTTCCTGATTTCCCCGGCCTCCTGTCTGTACTCTCAATGCCTCTTGTTGTGGGCCCGTGTTCAGAATTCCGTGCAACTGCCCAGTCGTGCTGTCCTTAAACAGATGGGCGATCATGACCTGACAGCAACCTTCCTGCCCTCCTGCCAACACTCAGATGCCAAGTGTCAGCCAACACCACGCTGCTGCTTAGTGATGCTTAGAAAAAGAGGGGGAAAGAAGCGATGCTGAAGCGTGTGTCTGACTTTCTTCAGAGCAGGTGCTGGACACATTGTGGTCCAGACAGCTCTGTGTTGGGGGGATGTCCTGTGCACCCTGGCCCCTGCCCATGAGATCATGACAGGCTCCGATCATGACAGCCAGAAATGTCTTCAGACATTGCCAAGCATCCTGTCTGAGGCAGAATGGCCCCCAGATGAGAACAAAAGGGACTTTGATCTCTTGTTGGTGATCCCAGATTCCCTGCCATCCCTTGACCATCTCTGGGGCAAGAAAAGCCAACGGGGAAGCAGCTGCTCAGGGCCCGTGGCCGTGTTCACGTCCCCGTGGGCTTCCCCCAGGCAGGTATGCCCGTGACCCCTCGCTCACTGCAGGAGGGCCATGTAGGCAGGACAGCAGATTTTTTTTCAGCCAGCGACGTTTTAGAAAGTCCAAGTTTGTTTTAATGTCGAAAATAAGTGTAAAGAAGGAAGTCATCTCCACACTCTGGTGGTCACACCAGTGAGAAACCAGAGTTAGCAAAGCCCCCAGTTTGCTTGGATTCCCCGGGCGCCTGTTTGCAGAGCATCGTCCCGCAGCCTGCCTTCCGAGGCAGCCTGTCCAGGCCCTGCGGTCTGTCCCAGCCCGTCCTCCCTGGCCGCTGCCGGCGGGACAGTGCACGGGGACCCCACTCTTGGTCTGCTTCCCAGCCCCGGCTGCTGTCGGCTCAGCCGCTAGAGGGCATCATGAACGGGGCCCCTCGCGGAGCCCTGTGAGGGTCGCAGGAGCTGGAGCCCGGCAGGTTTTGTGGTGCCTCGTGCACCCTACATGCCCAGTTTAAAAGACGTCACTTAAAATGTGCAGCTTTGTGGCACGTGTCACGTAGCAACACAGGTGTTCAGCCTTCCTAGCCTTTTATAAGACGTGTTTTCACTCCCGCTTCCCCCGTCACGTCTGGAACACAGGTCGCTTGTTTTCCTGGCAGCCTGGGACGTGCTGAGTTAACGTGTAGCTGTTTATTTACACAGTGACCTGCGGGTGGACGTGTAGACTGTTGCTACCTTTTTTTTCTTTTCTTTTGCTCTCTTGAGCAGTGCTGAGGTAGTCTGTGGATATCCATCTTTGCTTGTGATTGGTATGTGATTTCTCAAACTGGTATGTCCCCACGTAACCGGAAGAATCAGCCTTAAACAGCTATAAGCACAGAAGTTCTCTAAATCTTCTTTCTTGGGTTAAAGAAATATGTTACAGATTGAATTACAAACTCTTTCCCCCTCTCATTAAAGACAAGCATCAGTTACAAGTTACAGGCAGTGCTCCTGGGAGGCACTCGTGTTTATCGCGTCGTGTTTATCCCGTGTTCTCGGGGTGGAGGGCGCCGAAGGGCCTGCAGGTGTGTTTCAGGATGTTGAACGAGCTATGGAAGGGAGACCATGCTGCACCACGGTTAGCCTGTCGACGGCGTGCGCAAGGACTCCCTGAATTGATTGTGGCTCTTGTTGATCAGAACCAAGAGCACCCTGGGACGCGGTCAGAGCACGCAGGCCTACCTGGCCAGCTGCTTTCTGGTCCAGGTCATGGACCCCTCCTGGCTTGGGGTCCCACAACCAGTCTAGGTCAGGCCTCCGCAGCCAGCAGGGAAGGGCCTACAACCCTCTCATTGGGTCCACGGAGGAGCCGTTTCTCAGATAGCTTGGGGAGGGAGAAGCCATCTGAAAGGATGTCGGTCTTTAAAATACCTCACATGTGCTGTCGCCTCTTTTTTTCCTTATTTCCATTTTAAAGGAGTCATTTTCTTTTGTCGTCGCTAGTGGCAAAACATGGAGCAGGGAAAGGAGGGGGCGTGGTGTTCCTAAGAGCTGATACAGATGGCATAACCCATACCCTCTAGGGTCTAGAGGCACAAGCCGCTTTTCCATTCCTCCCCGGACCCCACATCAGCCCTGGGAGCTGGGCCCTCACCCTCAGAAGCAGGAGCCAGCACTGCAGGGTGTTCAGGGGTGGCGGGGGCAAGGGGAGGCCTGTGACCTGGTGCTGTGAAGCCTTCAGAAACTTCACCGGAGACAACAGAGCAGGCTAGGACACCCTCGGCCCCCTGTGTGTGTGTTGGATCAGGTGAGACAAGCCCTCTTGCACGTCTAGCGTGCAGACGCCGGGGGGCTGCTGGAGTTCCACTCAGAGAGGAGGAAAACATTGGTGTTCTGGGCTCTGTACCCCCTGCCTCCATCCTCCCGTGCCCCACCCCCGCACCTTCTACCTCTTCCCTCCCAACTTCCAATAACATCTGTTTCTTCCCAACCGCCCCCCCCCCCCGACAACCTCAACAATGCCCTCAGAGATTTCTCCAGAGGCGCTCTGGATAAGAGATGCTGCAGGAAAACCAGTTCTAACAAGGGTGTCCGTGTGCCTCTCTGCCCACAGAGAACCTGGAGTATAACGTGGAGCCGCAGGAGATCTCCCACCCCGACGTTGGCCGCTACTTCTCAGAGTTCACGGGCACTCACTACATCCCGAACGCAGAGCTGGAGGTCCGGTACCCGGAGGACCTGGAGGCTGTGTATGAGACGGTGCAGAACATTTACAGTGCGAAGAAAGAGAGCGTGGAGTAACGTCTCGGGGGACATCGGACCTTTGCTGCTGCTGCTCTTTTCCAAGATGACGGGGTTCCGGGTGGAGACGTGCCCCTGGATCCCTCTGGACCCACCGCCGGGAAGGCCACTCGACCGGTCGTGCTGGTTGCCTCCTACCAAGTGGAAATCACGTGTGCTCTCCGCCAGCTGCAAAGACAGTGTTGCTCTCCGCCTACACTAGTGATTCATTTGAAAGGCACTGTCTCAGTGGCATGGCTTGTATGCTTGTCCTGTGGTGATCGTTTGTGACATGCTGTCTTCATGACGTCTCACCATTGACACTTACAACCGTTCTTTTTCCTCACACCCCCCTCCCCACCCCGCATCGCGTCTGTCTACATCGTCTCAGAGCGTTTCGCTTGCTGGACAGGTGGAGTTGTCCGTTGGCAGTCGTTCCACTCTGATCTCTCTGTGAACTGTGTGCACTCCTCAGTCAGGATGGTCTGTCTTTTTACCCAGGGCTGAAGCTCTAAGTGATCTTGGCCACATAGTGGATCTGGAGTCATTAACAAACTAACAGTAGTCAGAATCATTCTAATTTTTTTTTTCCAATTTTTGAAACAGATTTCCGGCATTTTATCTTTTTCTTTATATGAATTGAGCACATGACACAGTTTTGCTTTCCCAGATTCATCTCTTGGATTTACCCTCATTTCTCTTAAGAATCATTAGGTTTTTAAATTTTATTAGATAAAATTATTTGAAAAAATGCATAGTAATAATCTTTGTGAATGGGTTTCCCACTTTCATCTACTATTCCTCCCTTAAAAATAAGTGGGTTTTTTTTTTAATCTACTCCAGTTTCATAAGTAGATCTTAAATCAGCAATGAATTCTCTTTGTGGTAGGAAAATACTGCTGTTAAAATGTCTGCTTTTTAGAAACTGTGCTCCATGGTCTCCAAAGACCTGAAATTGAGGTTTTACTTTTATAACCAGAAACAAGAAGAAATAATGAAGCTTGGAAATTAAAAAGGGAAGGGGAGGTCTCATGCTCCCTGTTCTCCCTTAGAATCATTTCAAGACCTTTTTGAATGTGGCAGGGTAGAAGTAAGTGAAATATCTCCGGTTTGAGAGCATGAGCTCAGTGGGAAAGGAGACAGCGTGGCCAGCATTCTCGAGTCACCGTTGCCATGAGGGCATCAGGAAGAAGTCTGTGCTCAGGCCCCCGGGAGTCCGGCTCCATACCCAGATGCTGCTGGCACCCATCTTTTCCACGTTCACGGTGCCCAAGCAGGAAGGTTCCTTGTCCTAACGCAGCTCTGGACTCCCACCTTTCTCCACCCACCCCTTCTCCAGTGGGCCAGCCTTGTACTTAACCTGTAGTAGCTCACTTCTGAAGTTAGGACCTAGTTACTCTGCTCTCAAGTTGAAAAGATTTCCAGTTGCTCTAGTGAATAAAGCTCTGGGGGCCGTGATCCAGCCACGCCTCGCCGCCCGCCTGTCCCTCTGCATGCAGTATTTCCACACTACGTTTGGTGACCGCCTCTCGTTTGCCCGTCGGAAATGCCAGGATGACTGAGGTTTGGAGAAGCCACCTGAGATCGCTTCCCAGCTTGTGACAGTCCTGAGCGGGTACCAGAGAGGGATGGGCATTTGGCCGGCCAGCTCCTTCCCACCCCAGTTAGCTCTGGTGTGGGCCCGTGTTCCTCACGGTCCAATCCAGAGTTAGATGGTCTGGACGCGCATTGGAAATTGTGACCACTCACAGCACCCAGCCTGCCCAAGGTTGGGGGCGTCTTACACTACTCTCATTTAAAGGTGAAAATTAGATACTATGGCATTAATATTAATGAGATGCATTACTAAGAATCTGTGGCGCATGCTGAGAGTTAAAATTGTTGGTTTTCTGGTTTGATTTCCTTTTTTCTTAGAATAACATCAAAGCCAAGAAAGATGGTTTTACCTTTATTGACCCGATGTAAATATGTATCTAGACTGTTTCTAAATGTGTTTCTTCATGAATGCTTCATTTGGCTCCAGGAAGCCTGTGTCACCTGTGTAAGTTGGTCTTTGGGCACTTTATATTTTTCTAAAAACGTGTTTTGGATCCTGTACTCTAATAAATCATAAGTTTCTTTTTAAAATTTTTCCAAATGTTTTCTCCACTTAAAAAAAAAAAGCCCTGTTATAATAGTAGAACTTTCACAATGTTGAAATACTCACTCTTTGGATATAGTAACTTCTTTTCTCTTCCAATGAATGCCAAGATTTTTTGTACAATAATTAATAAATGGGACTTATCCAGAGAAACCACACAAATGGCTTGCTGGGTTTCGTTCCAGGTAGACAGCCCAGCCATGACAACAGCAGAGTCTTGCTTGGTTCTCATTGATTGAAATGGGCGAGAATTGACCCTCCTGCCTTTTTCTAACGTCTGCGAGTAAACAGTACCTTTATACTGTGATTTCCCTGCCAAACGTTAACCTTATGAGCTGGCTGGTCACCTTGAGAGTGGTTGTAACAGAAGGATTGCAGCTTTTTAATGACATTGAGTCACATGTCTTGCAAGAGCTGTGGACACCTCGTGAGGGAAACCCAGGTTCTCGGGGTGTCGTTGATGCTGACCCCACAGCTGCACACCCACGGCACGTCCACAGCGTCGCACTGAGCACCGTGTTCCCCCTGTGGTCACACGCATGCTGTCACACTCGTCGCGGCTAAGCAGTCCCCAGTCTCTCACACTCGGAACCTTTCACATGCTGTTGTTCATTGTGACTCCCCAGGAGGGGAGTGTAGTGGTGTCTTCCCAACTGCTTGGGCCCTAGAGTGTTCCTGCCCCGAGACACTTGTATACTCACAGCAACCCTCCTTGCCCACCCTGAGGCCCAAGGTTTGCAGGTGCGCTTTGGGAAACACTGTTTCAGCAAGGTGTCAGTTACACCCAAACCTAGTCCACGTCATCGGCAGACCAGTCTGGCCAAGCGTCTCATTTGAAAACACGATCCATCTAATCGCATTTTGAGAGGCTGGCTTTGTGGCCTGTCTGCCGGAGTCTCACAGAAGGTCTCCATTGGAAGTGACGTTCACACTGCAAAGTTGTGTTATTTCAAAAACCTGTGTTAATACTCTCCCTCAATCAGCTTTATGTTTTCGAATATCCACGTAAAGTCTCGTTTCTACTTTTAAAACGTCTAAGTCTTTCTTAACATGTTAAATAAACTGAGTCGTGCTTTAGTGTCCTGAGCTCTGGTCTGCTACCACCAGGCCCATCTGCTGTAGAGGGGGAAGTGGGGGATGTGTCTTTCCTTCCTCTGTGAAGCTGGACTGCCAGAAGCCTTTTCTGTGTGAAGTGTCTCATGGTCATAATCAAGCCGTTGTTGCTCTTTGTCGTTTTTGTTTGGTTGCTTTTTTTTTTTTGAAGGAAAGGAGAGACTGTTCACCTAGAAGAAATGCAAAATTTGGTTCCGTGACGGTTTGGTTTTGGAGAAATCAACAGCTGTATTGCATGTATCACCTTGTATTACATCAGGCCGGGCACCAGGCACAACTGTCTATAACCCTCACAGCAGCCCTTTAGGACGTGGGCCAGGCGGTGAACATTTTTGCGGGCTGCATAAAGTCTCTGTCACATATTCTTCTTGGTTGGAAAAATGTACGGAAAAAAAAAAGCATTCTTAGCTCGAGGGCTGTGAGGCTGGATGCTGGATGGGGCCAGATGGCCGTGGGCTGTAGTTCGCTGACCCCCGCTGAGACGTAGGCCTGCCGAGCTCCCTGGGCAGACCAATCCCAGGTGGAGAGCCCGGCCTCCGCGCTCCAGCTCCCCGCAGCCATGCTGCCGACAACCTCAGCAGCTGCCTCACAGACATCTTGACCCTCTGCATTGCCGCACCCTTAACTTCCCACGTTTCAGTTCTGAAAATTTAGAGCCCTGAGAGTAAAGAACATTCCTTCGGTGAATAAAATTTATGTGCAAATACAGAAGAGATGTATTACGGCCATTTAGCAATGATTGTATTAGGGTCATGCTAGTTCTGTAATAAACAGACCCAGAAATGTACGATGGCTTGAACACAGAAGAACTTTCTTGGACAGGGGGAGTGGGTTGGCGGGCGGCCCTCACGCCATCACCTAAGGACCCAGGGCCACCACACGTGGCTTTCCAAAGCCCCCGGGCCCCCTGCCATCCAGTGGGAGTGGGGAGCATGGAGGGACTTGTCTGGAAGGGCCCTGGAACACAGGCCCTGGGACGCAGGGCCCGTGAGCTGAGGCGGGCAGTGGCACTCACTGCTTCCCCTCTCCTTCCTGCAGGGAGGCCAGGACGGAGGTAAGGGGACAAAGGTGGCCAGCTGGTTGTCGCTCTGGGTGTGCCCGTCCCCTGTGGGACCTGCTGCCGCCCAGGGAGCCGGCCGCTGCAGTCAGGGGGTTCAGTCCAGAATGGCCTTGCTGGCTCCTGGCCCAGCGCGACCACTGGCAGCGGGCGTTCCTGCCAGCCACGCTGCCACCTCGGACCCGTCGTCCCCGAGACAGATGGCCTCAGGGGGAGGAGTGCAGACCTCATGAGGTGAGTCACACCCAGAACTGCTGCCTCCGTAGCCAGAACTCGGGTCACGACACAGCCTCATTCCAGAGGAGGCGGGCAGCGGCCACCGTGGCCGGGGGGCGGGGGGAGGGACAGTGAAGGGTGTGGGGTCCCCGCCTTATCTGTGCCTCTCAACCACTTCCTACCCAGCTCTCGGTTCTCTCGGAGCTCAGCTGTCCTCCCCACCAGTCCACACCCCACTCCCAGTGCCCATTCACTGGTGAAGCAGGGACAGGACAACTGCAGTGGAAACTGCCACTTGGGAAAAGAATGAGACAGCAGGCCCTGGACCCTGGATGACGAAATACTGTGGGGCAGGGGGGTGAGGCCCCCTCCCTGCAAGGTGTGTGTCGGGGGTTGATGGTGCCCTCCGGGAGGGACTCCCTCGTCCACTGCTCCCCGCGCCCCATCCTGCCTTCCGGGGCCCATCCTCTCTGGTCACTTCACTGGTGGGTGCTGGGGGTGCCCCCTTCCTGCAAGCCGTGTATTCTTCACAACTCCAGTCCAAGACGTCCATTTGTTTCTACAAGCTTTTGATACCTCCGGCAACAATTCCCTCAAAAACTTGGCAGGCTACCTGTGCCGGTCAGGTTCTTTTCCAGAAATTCGCTTTCTTTCCTCGCTTCTCGGCCCGGTGCCTGTCCTCCTCCCTGACCTAGGTGGCAGCCGCCTGACCCTGCTGCTGGCCGGAGCTGAGTCTCCCTGTAACAGGCAAGTGTCTAAGGGGTCTTCGTGGCTCAAACTGATTTCCATCCTCTTCTCTTGCCGCGCTGTCCTGAAACAGTGCTGTTCCCAACAAAGGGAGCCTGGGAGTTCTGACTCTGCTGTTTTGGGTCTAAACCAGCGTGTTTTGGCCTGAGCATCCTTCTGGTACCTTGCTGTCAGCTGCAAGGAGCAACCAGCACCCTGTATTCAAGTGTCTTTGACGATTTCCCCTAGACCTGCTGCAGTGCCTGCGGCTCCACCTTGCAAGTTGTAAGCAGCAATTTAACCAAATATAACCCCCAGCACAGTGCTCCAGCCTCCCAGGCACCCAGCTGCTGACACTGTATAGTGTGGGGTTTGGCACAGCAGTTCTTTCAAGTGTTGGTTTCTGGGGGGGAGTTTCTTTGTTTTGGCTTTGGTTTTCAGTTCAAAGTGGGCTATATTTTTCCAGAGGAAGCTCTATTTCCTGTTTGGCTGTGGGAAAAAAAAAAGACAAACTAAAGACAGTGATGTCAGTGTCTTCTGGGAAGTAGAAAGAGCTAAAGCACATTGTTTTGTGAACTTAGGAAAAGAAGTTGTACAGAAAAAAGAAAAATGTAGAGGGGAAGAGCCAGTTCATTCTAGACTCCTCATGTGGTTAGATCAAATTTCCATCTACTTCTAAAAATGACAGAATTCTTAATGGAAATGTTGGTATTTAAGTTGAATCTGGGAGAAATTTGAGAGCACTTTGAGAGTTCTGAGTTCTCCCTGCTCGCAGAACACCGCGGTCTTCTCACGGTGGTAAAGGCCTTTCGTCACCGGCCATCACGATGGTCGTCCCTGGCTGCTCCTTCGCGGGTTGCTTTTCCCTCTGTGTCTCTTGCCTGTCTCCACCCCAGTGTTTCTCATCCTTGTTTTCCCAGTAATTCCTCCCCGCCCCACTCCAGGACCCTTTCTACTCAATTTTTTCCTAATCACCCTCACCCCATAAGATAGTTTTCACCTCTTTTTGAAAAATTGAGGTGAAATTCATAGAACATAAAATTCAGCACTTTATTTCAATGTTTTAAATTTATTTTTTATCTTTTGGCCATGCCACACAGCATGTGGGATCTTAATTCCCCAACCTGGGATCAAACCCACACACCCTGCATTGGAAGCATAAAGTCTTAACCACTAGACCGCCAGGGCAGTCCCTCAACATTTTGAAGTATACGGTCAGTGGCATTTAGCACATTCACAATATTGGGCAGCCACCACCTTTATCTAGATGTTAACATTTGACTGCCTCAAAACAAAACCTTGACCCCGTGAAACAACCACTCCCTATTTCTCCTCCCTGTCCCCCACCATCCCAGTCTGCTTTCTCTTTCTATGGGCTTGTCTATTTTAGACATTTCGTATAAGGGGAATCATATAATGGAACTTTTGGGACTGATTTATTTCACATAGCATCATGTTTTCAAAGTCCACCCACTCTGTAGCATGAAGCAGTATTTCTTTCTATGGCCAACTAATATTTATGCATAGACCACACTTTGTTTATCCATTCAGCTGATGCTGGACATTTGGGTTGTTTTCACCTTTTAACCCTTGTGAATAGAGCTGCTGCAAACTGCTGTGAAATTTTAATACCAGACTGTATATCCACTGAGGTGTCGTATGTGTATCTGTCCTGTACACATCAAAAGTAATTGTTGTTTCACTCCCACCTGGGAGGCAGCATTGGGAAAAGCCCATCTGCCCCTTCCTACTTGACCACTGCTGTCTTGTCTTGGAGTGTCTTTTAGAGTGCCCACCTTTGTGCCAGGAGCTGTAGTGAATACAGAAGTAAATTTATGTCACCTGCAAGTGCCAAAATGTGTATTCCAGAGAACTTTCTTGATATGTATTGCATAATAGTCTTTGCTTAGTATATTGACTTGACCCCAGAATCTCCTGGTGGCTCAGACAGTAAAGAATCTGCCTGTAGTACAGGAGATGGGGGTTCAATCCCCAGGCCAGGAAGATCCCCGAGAGAAGGGAATAGCAACCCGCTCCAGCGTTCTT